AACTGATCAGCCAGAGCATTTCATAAGTGAAATAAATGCTTATTTTGCTCTTAAAAGAAACAGCATATTTATTTTTACAGTTTTCATTCTTGTTTGCAACATGTTACTTATTTTTTACATAAAAATATAACAAACTTTTAAGAAATAAAGCTTACGAAACGCTTATCAAGGAACACTCCAAGTAAAGACGTTTTTAGCTCGATTCGCTGTTGCCACACGGTGAATCTTAATAACTATTCAAGACATTACATCATGTTGCCACTTAGGAAATCTTAATAATTATATAGAAACATTAAATTATGTTCCACTACAGAAATACCTTATAAAATAATGAAGAATCTACAGAAATGTATGTAGGTTTCTAGCACTGTGACAAAACAACGGTACCTAGAGCCATCCAATTTTGAATAACGCAATCCTCCACCGAATATGGGCCATCTGGAAATCCTAATTTGGAATTTGTTTTATTACCTATTTCATATTTTATATATATTATAAAGATTATATTAATTCTTTATAATATATTTTTGTAGAATCGGTACTTACTGTCTAGGAATATGATGTTCGTAAACTTACTTCCGATGTGGCTGTCTATGGGCTAATAAACTAGTCCAATTTACAAATAACTTGAATATTTAATTAAACATGAATAGTTGCTACAAACTACAAAGTAATTACATACATAGAAGGAAATAGATGAGATTATTTACAAACGAAGAGAAGGAATCGCATTTTACAAGCAAACATCTTTGAATCGCGTCATCGTCTTAATGGCGGAATCGTCTGCCTTCGTCAGCGAAAAAGTGAAAGATTTCCTCTCACAGCTTGTCGCGTCATCCGATTTTAAATGAACGATGCCAACCCACATTTTAATATTTTAATATATTTTATATATATTAATTTTTCATATACATTCATTAAAGAATTTTTGATTAAGAAACTCTCAACGATTTCAAAGCGAGGAATGGCAAAACTGTACGGAAAAGGGAGGGAAAAAAAACATTTTTATCTCCAGCGCGCGAGACTGTGTATCGGAAATTCTAAAGATATGCTCAATTTAAAATTATTTAAATTAAATAGAGAGAGTTAGCCCGAAGTCCAACGCGTGCTACTCAGGATTCCTAGCTCTCTCTCTCTCTCACGAAGTAAGTTGAACCTTCCTTAAATACTACTTTTAACTCATTTGTATTCAAAGCGATTCTAAAAACTCATTCTGGTAAGGAGTTGTAAGTTGAAACAAGAAATGAAAGTAAAGCGTTTTGAAATTAAAATAACAGTTACAAAATTAAAATATACTTTGCAAGTTTAATATTTATAAACAAAAACTAAATAATTAGGAGCTAAATAAAAGGGTGACCGCATTCCGCCCTCCTTGTGAATTCCCCTGGTTGCAAATACCTGTGATAGATCTTGAGTGGTACTGATTGGCAAAACAACATTTTTTCATAATCAAACTTAATTTTAACACGACGTCTAACACACGGAAGATATTAAAAATTCTAAAATGTACTTTAAATACTTTAAGCAAATATATTATGCCATATGCAAAATTTTATTTTTCATCTCATGGCACAACAGCAAATTGTGCTGCGCTAGAGTAACGAGAGATACAGAGCAAATCGAGTACAACATAAATATCGCTTGTTTACAGTTGATGATGAATAAAATCATTCATTTATTTTCGATGTAATGAACAAATGGTGCTTAAGACAGCCATTAAATGAATTATTTTATTTGGACTTCAGAATAACACTACTGATATTTTATATTGTTATTTTACTCTGTGAATGCCGTCAATAAGCGTTTCTCAACCTTTTCCACTAACACGAACCATCAAACAAAAAATTGAAAAACTTTACCACTACATTTTACAAAGATTATTTTTCAGTTTCTCAATAGAAATATTAAAAAAATCTCATGTGTATACTACATGACCTCCTTCGACGGAATATTAAATTATACGCATTTTTTCCTGCATTTCATTTAAATTTATTGAAGTGAATTAAATCTACTTCGTTGATCGCGCATAAACCACAATAGAATAAATGCGTTTTTTAAAAGTCACTCTATTTGTTTACCATAGCGACACTCTGGCGCTAGGTTCACTTAACAGCGTTACATTTCATTCATATTATAACTCAGAATGCATATAAATTTATATCATTTGAATAATTATCGAATCATTGCCACGTTCTATTCAAATACTATAATAAAGCTAAAACGACGTATAAAAAATTAAGCAAACAAAACAAAAAAGAAATAGTTTTTCACAGATGATTCGGTATTTCTAATTCAATTAATGGAATTGCGAAATGCAGATCAAATTACAGAATTACTACATTAAATAGCTCACCTTGTTCTCACTTCCCAACAAGGCAAAAACACATAAAAACTCAAAATATCTTCATTAAAAATTGAAAGATATAGAAAAACATAAAATACCAAATAACACTTAAAACAATTAAAAAACATTTTTGCAATTAAAATTAGAGTTTTTAAGCAAAAACAAGCAATTCGGCAGATTTTTCTGTGCACAAAACTAAAAATTTCGTTCGGGTTCCGCTCTGCAAAAAGACACTGAAGGTGCAGAAGCTGACTTAATTCACTATTCTGCTAAGTTTCAAATGTAAACAAATATGGCTGCTATAGTGAACAAAATTGGGCTTAGCCGCACTTAAGCAGCTTTTAAATTGTTGATAATTGTACAACTATTGTATACAGATTAACTAAAGGCATAAAAACAACATAATTCAATCATTTTTAAAGCAAAAGATGCACAATTTACTAACATATCATAAAAAATATGAGCTTACTGAGCGGAGTAACAGAGTAGGTGTTTATTTATGTGCATATTCATATACTTTTGATGCGACCGATTGCAACAAAAATGGGAGATGCACAACAAAAATGGGAGATGCATGTTATAGTAGTGTGCTGACAACTACACCACGAAGGCGGCAGAAATATCTTAGAAGGTGAATAGAATAAATAAGAGAAAATGTTAAATTTTAAAAAAATAAACAAAATAAATTTGAAAGTTTTCAGATTTTAAAATACGCCTAAAGTGAGGGTTTTTTTTTTTTTTTTTTTTTTTTTTTTAGTCCAAAGGGATTTGAATCCCGAAGGACTATTAGTTAAAGGACTATTTGACATTTCACCCCACTTTTCAGCCTGGAAAAAGGGGGAAAAAGACATGGCCACTAAAGTGAACAACCCCGTCTTTTCAAAGAGAGGACTCTATAGCCAATATAATGGCCATCCCGTCTTCAAAAGGTTAAAGGGTGATTGGGTATTAGGGGACCTATTCACCAAATCCTGGTGGTGAAGAATGATCATCCACCACCTTTTAGTTCGGGCGAAACTGTAGAGTCATTAGGGTTTTTTGATGTTAGGAAACATGAAAAATGACCAATGCTCTCGCCGGGGCTCGAGCCTGGACCTCTCGAATGCGCGCCGAGTGTGATAACCCTTATAACACAAATGCATGCAAAAAGGAGGGAAAAAACACTTTAAAAACCTCTTAAGTGCCTCCATAGTAAAGGGACCTTAGCCTTCAGTAGTGACCTTCAGTAGTTACCAACGACTCTAACGGCTAGTGCCTGCCATTAAAAATAAAAAAAAAATTATTTTGGTTTAGTTTATGAATATAAAAAAAAACTACTTTTGTTCCAATTTTGGTATTTATCAATATTTATTATAGTTCTTGTTTAATTTATAAAACACATTAAAAAGTTTGACAGGTTTCAGATTTTAAAATTACGTCCAAAGGGGCGTTTTTTTAACATTTTGTGTGCAACCTTTATTTATTAAATATCATGTTCTTTGCACTTAAACCACAAAATTCAGTTCAATAGCAAAGTCGCAAAATAACTTTAACACGAGCATCCTCGCGCTAGAGATAAAAAGGCTCCTCGTGTTGCTCCTCCTTCTGCTGCTCCTCCTCAGGTTGCTCCATGGCCCCCTTTCGCCATCACTAGACGACTATCCCCCCCTCCATTCCAAACCTTGAATATTCATGTAAAATATAAAATAATAAATAACATTAATATGAAGAATTCTTAATAATAAATTAAAAGTAGCATTTTAACGCCTGTTTTAAATTTGACTTTTTTAATATAATTTTTACTTTTCTAAACTTTTAAAACTTTAAAACCTAAAACTTTTAAAATTTAAACTTTTTTAATATAATTTTTAATTCCTGTAGTTCTGAAAAATGTTCGGCCATCTGATATCTGTTGCGCAATAATTCCTGGAATGCGATGAAATCCTAACCCGGTATCCGAATATTAATCTATCGTGTATCTGAAATTTCATTGGCTTTAGTGCGAACATTCTTGTAATGATATCGGAAGTGTAATTTGTTTAACGTAATCAGGGCTCGGTATAAAAGCTCTTTGCTGAGCAATCGCGCTCGCTTTCTAGTCGCGCTTCTTTTCGATGCTTTGCAAAAACTTGTAGGAATATTAGGACCTTTTTGATACGGAAGACAGGGAAAATGACGATGCCGTCGTCGGGACTCGAACCTGGACCTCTCGAATAAGCACCGAGTGTGCTGCCCATTACAACACGAAGGCATGCTAGAAGGCGGGAAATATACTTTATAAACTAACATCATATGGCCGCTATTGTTTCAGAAATGTAATATATGATAGATAAATCCTGGTGTGCTTATCCGCCCCACCATATATAGTGAATATCGTTCAAGGTAAAAATACCATTTCAATTATTAAATTTCAATGGAAAAAATATCTTTGATGAATGTTCAAAAATAAATTATATGTTAACTCACGCTACATTTGTCTGAAAATCATTCGTTCTTCTACTGCGCCGTTATTCTATCGCGACCTCGTCATCGGTCAAAGATGCCAACTTCGTGTTTTGCTAAATTTTATCTCAATTACTAATACTACGATAGCCAGAAAGCTCTCTACGTTAAGAAGCTCTTTCCATCACTCCTAGTTACACTTATTTTCATTTACATACATTTTTTTTAAAATTTGATGGCATTTGCTGCTCCTTTTCTTGCTGCTCCCACTCCTGCTGCTCCTCCTCTTGTTGCTCCTCCCCCTGCTGCTCCTCCTCCGTCTGCTCCTGCCCTGCTCCTCCTCAACATGTTGTTCCGCCTCAGGCTGCTCCTCCCTGCTGCTCATCAACCAACTGCTCATCCTCAGGTTGCTCCTCCTCCTACTGCTCCTCCTCCTGCTGCTCCTCCTCAGGCTGCTCTTCCTCCTGAGCCTGCTCCTCCTACTTCTCCTCCTCAGGCTGCTCTTCCTCCTGAGCCTGCTCCTCCTACTTCTCCTCCTCAGGCTGCTCCTCCTCAACCTGAGAAGCAGCCTGAGGAGGAGCAGTCTGAGGAGGAGCAGCAGGAGGAGGAGCATAAGGAGGAGGAGCAGTCTGAGGAGGAGCAGACTGAGGAGGAGCAACCTGAGGCGGAGCAGCATCAGGAGGAGCAGCAGGAGTAGGAGGAGCAACCTGAGGAGGAGCAGCATTAGGAGGAGCAGTCTGAGGAGGAGCGGTGTGAGGAGGAGCAGCAACCTGAGGAGGAGCAAAACCTGAGGAGGAGCAGCATTAGGAGGAGCAGCAGGAGAAAGAGCAGTCTGAGGAGGAGCAGCAGTCTGAGGAGGAGCAGCAGGAGGAGGAGCAAGGAGAGGAGCAGCAGTCTGAGGAGGAGCAGCATTAGGAGGAGCAGTCTGAGGAGGAGCAGTAAAAGGATGAGCAGCAGGAGGAGCAGTCTGAAGAGGAGCAACATGAGAGGCTGAGGAGGAGCAGCAGGAGGAGCAGTAGGAGGAGGAGCAGGAGTCTGAGGAGGAGCAGCTGGTGGAGGAGCAACCTGAGGAGGAGGAGCAGTAAGAGGATGAGCAGCAGGAGGAGCAGCCTGAAGAGGAGCAACATGAGAGGAGCAGCCTGAGGAGGAGCAGCATTAGGAGGAGCAGCAGGAGGAGGAGCAGGAGAGGAGAGGAGCAGGAGGAGGAGCAGTGGAGCAGCAACCTGAGGAGGAGGAGCAGTCTAGGAGCAGCCTTGAGAGAGGAGGAGCAGCAGGAGGAGGAGCTAACCTGATGAGGAGCAGGAGGGGTCGAGGAAGGAGCAAAGAGGCAGCAGGAGGAGCAGCAGCAAGGAGGAGGAGCAGGAACCTGAGGAGGAGCAGCAGAGGAAGAAAGCAGAGGAGGAGCAGTAGAGAGAGCAGGAGGAGTATGGAGCAGCATTTTGCTTCGGGGCCCAGGGGAAGTGCCATTCGAGACCTGCCATTTAGCCACGTGCAGCCCGCGGCCGTATATTCCATAATTGTAAGTAATAATACTGTAATTGTAATATTTAAATGATAAATATATATAATAATGAGGAGGAGCAGCAGGAGGAGGAGCAACCTGACCAGCACTCTGAGGAGGAGCAGCCTGAAGAGTAGCAGTCTGAGGAGGAGCAGCAACCTGAGGAGGAGCAGCATTAGGAGGAGCAAACTAAGGAGGAGCAGCAGGAGTAGGAGGAGCAGCAGAGGAAGGAGCAGTCTGAGGAGGAGCAGCAGGAGGAGGAGCAGAATGAGAAGGAGCAACATGAGAGGAGCAGCCTGAGGAGGAGCAGTCTGAGGAAGAGCAGCAACCTGAGGAGCAGTCTGAGGAGGAGCAGCAGGAGGAGGAGCTACCTGAGGAGGAGCAGCAGGAGGAGGAGCAACCTGAGATGAGCAGCCTGAGAAGGAGCAGCAGGAGGAGCAGCAGTCTGAGGAGGAGCGGCAGGAGGAGGAGCAACCTGAGGAGGAGCAGCCTGAGAAGGAGGAGCAGCATGAGAAAGAGCAGTAGGAGGAGGAGCAACCTGAGGAGGAACAGCTGGTTGAGGAGCAGCAGAGGAGGTGCAGAATGAGAAGGAGCAACATGAGAGGAGCAGTCTGAGGAAGAGCAGCAACCTGAGGAGCAGTCTGAGGAGGAGCAGCAGGAGGAGGAGGAGCTACCTGAGGAGGAGCAGCAGGAGGAGGAGCAACCTGAGAGGAGCAGCCTGAGAAGGAGCAGCAGGAGGAGGAGCAGCAGTCTGAGGAGGAGCGGCAGGAGGAGGAGCAACCTGAGGAGGAGCAGCCTGAGAAGGAGGAGCAGCATGAGAAAGAGCAGTAGGAGGAGGAGCAACCTGAGGAGGAACAGCTGGTTGAGGAGCAGCAGAGGAGGAGCAGCCGGAGTAGGAGCAGCAGGGGGAGGAGCAACAAGAGGAGGACCAGCAGGAGTGGGAGCAGCAATAGGAGGAGCAATAAGAGCAATCAATTTTAAAAAAATATATGTAAATGAAAATAAGCGTAACTAGGAGTGATGGATAGAGCTTCTTAACGTAGAGAGCTTTCTGGCTATCGTAGTATTAGTAATTGAGATAAAATTTAGCAAAACACGAAGTTGACCGATGACGAGGTCGCGATAGAATAACTGTGCAGTAGAAGAACGAATGATTTTCAGACAAATGTAGCGTGAGTTAGCATATAATTTATTTTTGAACATTCTTCAAAGATATTTTTTCCATTGAAATTTAATAATTGAAATGGTATTTTTACCTTGAACGATATTCACTATATATGGTGGGGCGGATATGCACACCAGGATTTATCTACCATATATTACATTTCTGAAACAATAGAGAATACCAAGCAGCGGCCATATGATGTTAGTTTATAAGTTATTTCTCCCGCCTTCTAGCATGCCTTCGTGGTGTAATGGGCAGCACACTCGGTGCTTATTCGAGAGGTCCAGGTTCGAGTCCCGACGACGGCATCGTCATTTTTCATGTCTCCCGCATCAAAAAGGTCTTAATATTTCTACTAGTTTTTGCAAAGCATCGAAAAGAAGCGCGACTAGAACGCGATTGCGCAGCAAAGAGCTTTTATAGCGAGGCCTGATTACGTTAAACAAAAATACCCTTCCGATATCATTACAAGAATGTTCGCACTAAAGCGAATGAAATTTCAGATACACGATAGATTAATATTCGGATACCGGGTTAGGATTTCATCGCATTCCAGGAATTATTGCACAACAGATATCAGATGGCCGAACATTTTTCAGAACTACAGGAATTAAAAATTATATTAAAAAGTTTAAATTTTAAAGTTTAAAGTTTTAAAAGTTTAAAAAAGTAAAAATAATATTAAAATGTCAAATTTAAAACAGGCGTTAAAAGGCTACTTTTAATTTATCATTAGGAATTCTTCACATTAATGTTATTTATTATTTTATATTTTACATGAATATTCAAGTTTTGGAATGGAGGGGGGGGGGCATAGTCGTCTAGTGATGGCGAAAGGGGCCATGGAGCAAAAATTTTTGAGAAACCTGCTCTAGATGATCCAACAATGACTTTCAAACGCTGAAACTGTCAGCTACATAAAAACCTCTTCGTAAACATATGAGAAACTTAAATTTTTACACATGTTTTCTGCAAATCCATTCAATGAGTAAAGTGCGTTTTTAATTACTTAGCATCTTTCAGGGGGAAGAATGAGCCACCCTTTTACGGAACATTTACCTGCGATTGGAGAAGTTTTAATGATAACTAATAGGTTAACTTTGACCGTATGTAAATTATTTCTTGTTCATGTTTGATTAATGCGTTTATAAAAAGCATTTTTTCCACAGGACTCGTATAAAAATTTAATACTTTTTATCTAAAATAAGAAAACATTTAAACCTAAAATCGATATAAATGGTCTAAAAACCAAACTTACTTGGTCATAAATTTCTCTAACTAAAGACATGGATATGCAACCAATTATTTAACAGACATTTTAACAGCAAAATTTTTATAACAACTTGCATGTTTTACTAATTTATGTACATCCAGTTTCTAAACTTTTCGGATGATTTTAGATCAGGCTCTTCATGCTTGAATTTCCTGAAAATTGCTACCGATAAATTATCGTATATGAAAATTCATCCATAGCTAGTAAAGCTCCCAGTTCATGGGCAAACTATTGTCAGAAGGTGTACGCTAAGCACAACTTTTGTTTTCTTTACTATGCAAATTATTTCTCGTGAGTCCACTCGTATCTTCAGCGCAGGAAATAAATTTTCATAAATTAAATTTCTTGCGGAAGAGTAAAAAATGTCTCCCAAGTTGAGTCGTGGACAAAAATTCCCGGCGTTTTCCTTTACAGAAAAAGAGAGAGAGAGAAAATCCTCCTTTCCAGTTCACGGGTCGATGAGCTTAGAGAGACACAGAGAGAGAGAGAAAGAGAAGGAACACGAAGAAGAGAGATACAGCAATGAAGATAATACTGAAAGAAAACGCAGATGAAATCCATAAAAGAAAACATATATTTCTGCCCCAATAAGCACTATTCTATTTTCTTTCTCGTAGTTTCTTTGATCGGGAAATTCTGAGGAACTCCGCTAAGAAAATTATCCCATACACATACACGTATAATAACAGGAGGGTTCGGAATCTGGACCCGAGAATAATGGACATCTTTGGTCACGAGATTATTCATTTGTGTTCCGATATTCTTAATTGACAACAAGGCTCCTTTATATATATGTGATGTACCAGCTTTAGTCGTAGCTTAAATTATCAAATGATAAGTTTAAAAAAAAAAGGATCCATTTATTATTATTCAGAAGAAATAGCAGTTACAAAATCAGATATCCGGAGTAAATAAAAAGAATTGCTAATACCTCTTGGTATGAAGTTTACTGCATCGTGACAGTTAAGAAAAAGCCCCCGATATTCCTTTGCGAGGCCTTTTATAGCCTCTGGAAAGGCGGAGCTTCCAAGAAATGACGTCAGCCTCGTCAGCCAATCCAGTTCGGTTCAAATATTTCCAGAACATTCTAAAACTGTACGTGTAGAAAAGGCGAGAAAAACAACTTGACTACGGGGCTGTGGCTTTAATTCCACGTACTTTCAAATAAAAGAACGTCGCCATTAAATGAAGAGAACATACAGTTAGAATTTTAAGTGTATTCTTGACTATGGAATTTTATTATTACAAATATATATGCTTCTTTGTATATTATAAACTCAAATGTATCCGTATGGTTATGCCCTCAAGCCAAAACTATTTTCACATTGAATTAAGGATAGCATCAGGATTGCGGTCCGTTAATTTTATTGAAATTATTTCCAAACATAACAAAATTTATCTGATGTTAAAGATAAAATAAACTCTTTTCATCGAAGTGCATTTTAATACTGACTAGTAATTAATTTTAAGGTTGTTCGCACAATTTTAGACAATTTTGCTTCGCTATAAAAAAAATCTGATGTGTACACCACTTGACTTCCTTCTACGGAATATTAAATTATACGTAATTTTTGCTGCATTTCATTTAAACTTATTTCCCCGAATTTCAATAGACATAGATTTCTCATTCAATTAATTCATATCTCACATCGCGGCAAGGCAAAAATACATAAAAAAAATCTTTATTAAAATTTGAGATATAGAAAAACATAAAACACCAAATACAGTTAACAATTTTTACAATTAAAATTACAGTTT